TAGAACTCCATTTATATTGGTACATGTATTACATTTTTTAAAGATTTATCTTACGTATCTTTAGTAAAAAGTATATTTTTTAGTTGAAACATTAGTGGTCCTCTCAGTGATGAGACTTTTTGTTGTTTCTTTATATCTGTATCTTTCTTTCTTTCTTTCTCTTTTCTTTCTTTCTTGTTCTCTTTTTTCTTTTTAAGACAAGATCTCTGTCATCCAGGCTGGAGAGTGCAGTGGTGTGATCACGGCTCACTGCAGCCTCGACCTCCCGGGCTCAAGGGATCTTCCACTTCAGTCTCCCAAGTAGCTGGGACACAGGTATGCACCACCATGCCCAGCAAATTATTTAATTTTTGTATAGACAGGGTCTTGCCATGTTGCCCAGGCTGGTCTCAAACTTTTAGGCTCAAGCAACCCTTCCTGCCTCGACCTCCCAAAGTCTGGAATTATAGGCATGGGCCACTACACCTGGCTTTATATCTGCATTTTTTTTTTTTTTTTTTACAATAAACCTGTACTATCTTATAAACAAAAATAAATAAATATAATAACCCTTATGTGTACTAAGACTTTTTCCTGTTAAAAATGAAAGGTACTCAAGGACAAGGACTTTGTCTTCTGGCCTTCTAAGTTGTTCAACTCAAGAACTAAAAAGGAGGCCAGATACAGTAGCTCACCCATCATTCTGAGGCTGAGGTGGAAGGACTGCTTAAAGCCAGGAGCTCAAGACTAGAGACTCTGTCTCCACACACACACAAAAATAATAATTAAAAAAAATTAACCAGGCATACTTGTGCATGTCTGTAGTCCCAGGTACCTGGGAGGCCAAAGTAAGAAAATCACTTGTTCCCAGGAGGCTGAGGTTACAGTGAGCTATGGTTGTGCCACTGCACTCCAGCTTGGGTGGCAGAATGAGACCCTGTCTCTAAAAATAAAAAAATAAATAAAAATAATAAAGGCTATGCATGGTGGCTCACGCCTGTAATCCCAGCACTTTGCAAAGCTGAGGCAAGAGAACCACTTGACGCCAGGAGTTGGATACCAACCAGGGCAATATACAAGACTCCATCTTGCCAAATAAATAAATAAATAAAATTAGCCAAGCATGGTGGACCATGCCTATAGTCCTAGTTACTCAGGAGGCTAAGGCAGGAGGATCGCTTGAGTCCAGGAGTTCCAAGCTACAATGAGCTATGATCACACCAATTCACTTCAACCTAGGCAACAGAGCGAAGCCTGGTCTCTCATTTTAAAAAATAGTAAAAAAAATTTTTTAAATAATAAATAAAGAACTAAAAAGGGTTGGGTGAAGGCGGGGGCATTAAGAAAAAAATAAAGAGACTCTGCAGAGTATGCTTATAACATATACTACTGGTCTTTATACCCTGGGCAGAAAAGGGGAGCATTCTTTTTTAAAAATGGTCTTTATTCAAAGTCCAACAATTAACTATTAACCTTCTCTACTCACCACCAGGCTCCAATGTACCTTCCGATGAATAGGCACCAGAATAATTTCTTGTTCAAAGAGATTTACCCCTTTGGTCCATCTTTTCACTGCTTGGTAACCCCCAGACTTTAATTTAGGATAGAAGAAAGTACTGAATACATGAAGTGCTGGATAGCCTTGCTTTTTATTTCTTTCCACCAGAAGATTCATGTAAAAATTAATGACCTATAAAATACCAAGGGAGTGAAAGCTGGAACATGACAAATACATTATCAAAACTAAATTTCTATCTGAATAAGGACAAATTTGAAGGTAAGGTACTAAAGAAGAGGATAGGGCTGGGCGCGGTGGCTCATGCCTGTAATCCCAGCACTTTGGGAGGCTGAAGCAGGTGGTTCCCTTGAGGTCAGGAGTTCGAGACCAGCCTGGCCAACATGGTGAAACACCATCTCTACTAAAAATACAACAATTAGCAGGGTATGGTGGCAGGCGCCACCATCTCAAAAAAAAGGGGGGGGGCGGATAAAAGGACTGTCTAAAAAAATGACAGCAAAAAAAGTGATCAGTGCAAAATGGGACACATGAAAAACGAATGAAAACTACTTTTTTTTTTTTTTTTTGAGACAGAGTCTCACTCTGTTACCCAGGCTGTCAGCTTACGCAACCTCTGACTCCTGATTCAAGGGATTCTCCTGCCTCAGCCCCCCAAGTAACTGGGACTACATGTACACGCCACCATGCCTGGCTAATTTTTTTTATTTTTAGTAGAGACGGGGTTTCACCATATTGGTCAGGCTGGTCTCAAACTCCTGACCTTGTGATCCACCTGTTGGCCTCCCAAACTGCTGGGATTACAGCACGAACCACCGCATCCGGCTGAAACCATACTTTTAAGGCATGTGAGTAACAATAGCCGGAAGAAGGAATTCAAGAAGAAAGTCTGTATAATAATGAAAAGATCTACATAATTGTATCACACCAAAAAATGCATAAATATTAACAGGAAGTGAATTTTACTGCATCTAAATTAGACTTCAATTTAAAAATATTAACTGGAAGGACATACACCAAAATATTAACATTTTATTTTTGAGTGGTGGTACTTTTGAACAGTCATTTTTTTAGTTTTCCTGTATTTTCCAAATTTTCTACAATAAACAAATTACATTTATCTTGTAAAACAAAACATTCCTGTTTTCAGTGAATCTGTTTATAAGTAACTAATCATTGGGGAAACAGGAAGGGAGGCAAAGAGAGAAGATGCAGGGGCTGCAGTGAGGGGAAAAAACCCACCAGAAAATTGTCAAGAAGAACTTAAGAGCCAGCTTTTGCTAAATATATTAAGGATACAAGAGACAAGTCAGGCAAAATTTTTCAGTTAATGGGAGGCCAAGGTGGGTGGATCACCTGAGGTCAGGAGTTTGAGACCAACCTGGCCAACATGGTGAAACCCCATCTCTACTAAAAATACAAAACTTAGCTGGGCATGGAGGTGGGTGCCTGTAATCCCAGCTACTTGGGAGGCTGAGGTGGGGGGATCACTTGAACCCAGTATTGGAGTTGCAGTGAGCTGAAAATTGCACCATTGCACTCCACCCTGGACGACAAGAGCAAAACTCCATCTTAAAAAAAAGAACAAAGAAAAATACACACAGTATATAATAATCAACATATCCCTTTATTACTCAAAAAATAAAGCAGCTACTATTAAGAATTCACCTAAAATATAATACCACTTGCTGCTTCCTCCCATTCATCCGCTGTGCCCAGGGTTTATTGGAGACTAGTAAATGAAGAGGTGGATGCAACAAAGTACAGATGCAGAAAAGGGAAACATCACCAATTCCAGGCAGAACATCAGATTTCACCAGCTTTTTAAGATTTAAGATGTCTTTGTTTTAATTATAACTAAAAGTTGCTCTACCAACCCCTATAACTGGGTAGGAGTCAATGTGATTATAGATAATAGTTAAACTTCATGATAGCCAAAAGGGGGAGAGAATATGACTTACTTCATCATTGAGCCAGTGATAATTCTTTAATGTCTGGATGTCTCCTCGAGTAATTCGCAATTTGAAAGCACTACTTAGGATTTCATCCTGTGGGCCATGGCCTAAGGCGTTACTGATTTCCTTTTCCATGTCCTGAATTAGAAAGTCCAAAGGTTACTATTTTAATATAGAACCATTATCAGTTATTGAAAAATCTGAGCTGAAAAAAGTTTTACATCTCAGCAGCACCTGACTCTTGAGAAAAATATACCATCAGAGACCTACTAAACTACAGTATGAAAAAAATTTATCGCCGGGCGCGGTGGCTCAAGCCTGTAATCCCAGCACTGTGGGAGGCCGAGGCGGGTGGATCACGAGGTCAAGAGATCAAGACCATCCTGGTCAACATGGTGAAACCCCGTCTCTACTAAAAATACAAAAAAAAATTAGCTGGGCATGGTGGCGCATGCCTGTAATCCCAGCAACTCAGGAGGCTGGGGCAGGAGAATTGCCTGAACCCAGGAGGCGGAGGTTGCGGTGAGCCGAGATCGCGCCATTGCACTCCAGCCTGGGTAACGAGAGTGAAACTCCGTCTCAAAAAAAAAAAAAAAAAAAAAAAAAAAAGAAAAAAATTTATCTTTATTTTTTTATTAATAGAGATGGGGCCTGATTAATTGCCCAAGTTGGCTGCAAACTCCTGGGCTCAAGCAAAACCCGCCCTGGCCTCTCAAAGTCCTGGGATTCTAGGCATGAGCCACCGCGCCAGCCCTGAAAATATTTTAACTTATAACTACAAAGCAGTCTTCGTAATATTTACAACAAATGCTGGTCCAATTAGTAGCTTGTGGAAACAATAATAATTATTTACATCTAAAGTATGGTCTCAATAATCCTACTACCAGGTATTAAGCACTATAAGCCAAACATGGTGTTAGATACTTGAAGCACATTCTTACTTGTTGGGAAGGTATCACTACCATTTTATAGAAGAGAAAATTGAAGTTCAGAGAATTTATTTTACATATTCAAAGTCATATAATTATTAAAAGGTAGAATGAAGATTTGAACCCAGGTATGTCTAATTTACTGGCCTTTACTCCTTTCATAATACTAAAACCCTGATTTCCACTCTAACCTTTTTTTGGTTTGTTTTTGACACAGAGTCTCACTGTGTCACCCAGGCTGGAAATCTCAGCTGACTACAACCTGCCTCCCACATGCAAGTGATTTTCATGCCTCAGCCTCCTGATTAGCTGGGATTACAGACATGTGCCACCATGCCGGCCATTTTTTGTATTTTTGGTAAAGACAGGGTTTCACCATGTTGGCCAGGCTAGTCTTAAACTTCTGACCTCAAGTAATCTGCCTGCTTCGGCCTCCCAAAGTGCTGGGATTACAGGCATGAGCCACCACACCCAGCCTCTCCTTTAAACTTTTAAAACATCAAAATAAGATTAGGACATCTAAGGGGTCATACCATCCTTTTTGACAGAGAATAAGCAAACAGGCAGAAACTTGGAAACCAGACAGCAGTCTAGCAATTGACTATGGAATAAATGGCTTCAACATACTAAGGAATAATATGGGCCAGGCATGGTGGCTCACACCTGTAATCCCAGCAATTTGGGAGGCTGAGGCAGGCAGATCATGAGGTCAAGAGTTTGAGACCAGCTTGGCCAATATGGTGAAACCCTGTCTCTACTGAAAAATACAAAAATGAGCCAGGCATGATGACATGCGCCTGTTGTCCCAGCTACTCGGGAGGCTGAGGCAGGAGAAGTGCTGGAACCCAGGAGGCAGAGGTTGCATTGAGCCGAGATTATGCCATTGCACTCCAGCCTGGGCGACAGGGTGAGACTCTGTCTCAAAAAAAAAGAAAAATAAAAGAATTATGCAGATAAATGCATTATTTAAGATACAAAGCTAGATCTATAAACTCACTAAAAATTATTTCCCTCCAGGCCAGGCATGGTGGCTCATGCCTGTAATCCCGGCACTTTGGGAGGCCTCGCGAGGCAGGTGAGTCACCTGAGGTCAGGAGTTTGAGACCTGCCTGACCAACATAGTGAAACCTCCTCTCTACTAAAAATACAAAAATTAGCTGGGCATGGTGGTGGGTGCCTGTAGTCCCAGCTACTCAGGAGGCTGAGGCAGGAGAACTGCTTGAACCCAGGAGGCGGAGGTTGCAGTGAGTCAGGATGGTGCCATTGCACTCCAACATGGGCAACAACAGCACTGTCTCAAAAAATAATAATAATTATTATTATTTTCCTCTAAATATTTTTACTACTGCTTCCTCCCACTGCACATAGTTTCGCTGTTTTATGGATCTCTCTCTCCACCTGCATGCCCAATATAATAGTAAGTATTCAAGAGAGATTCACCTACTAGATTCCTACTGTAGAGGAAGCCAAGATGTGGGTGCATCTTTAAAATAAGAATTTTAACTACTTTGATTCTTTACGTTCTGTAAATTTTTACTATTTTCAAATGCAATAATCAACAAAAGGGACATTTTAGTAAACTATAATCACTTTTTAAAAAAATGCAGTGGACTTATTCCTAATTCCAAACCTATACTATATAACTCACTCAACATATTTGAAGAATTCAACAAAGAATTTGTTGAATTCCAAGATATGTGATGACTGTGTCAACTCACATTTGCTGAATATCAATTTGATCCCTTAGGCCAATAACGATCATGCCTAACTAATGATCAGTGTAGCCAAAGTACATAAATAGATCATGGACCTGATTTGTTTTCATATATTCATCCTTAGCCTGGAGAAAGTCCTCAAAACAAAACATTCAAGTTTAGAAGAACTGAGGTTATTTAAAGACATGCCTCTTTTTAGGATCAATACAAAGAACAATACCTCTGTGAGTTCAAGGAGATCATCCGTTCTTCTGTCCCTCTCTTTGCCTGAGCAATTCTTTTCCTTTGTCTCAATTATTGACACTTTCCTCCTGAGTAAGCCATTGCTTCCACTGCCCAGGCGGAGTCGGGCCGACACTTCTTCTGATAGGTCAGGCTCCAGCTGGTATCCCCTCCTCTGATCAAAAAAGCATCTAAATTCTACTGACATGTTTGATACTTGCTAATATAAATACAGATAACACATGAAATATAAAACTGTCAGTAATGTGAAAGAAAAGAGAATTAGCAAATCCCCCAAATGAGTAGATTTATCATATCTGCCTGTCCCTGCAAGGGGAAATAAAAAAACTCCAGACCTAAGACTCACAGGATACCTCAGTTACAAACCATGAAACAGAACACTCACCACCTTCCCTGGAAGGAGCAAGAAAAGTATTTTCAGTTCTCCTATCATAATTAAAAATAGTATGTTTAAAAGATTATTTTGAAAGTTTTAAATAGCAAAAAATATGACCCACAATCCCACCCTCAGAACAAATCCCTACTATCTTTATGTTAACTAAACTTGGTTCTAGCTTATCCTTGTAAGAAGTCATTTTATATTACAGAAAATGCACAAAACATTAATGTACCACTTAATTCATTTTTGTAAAATGAACACCTATATAACCACCATTGTGGTAAACAAATAGAATTCTGCCAGCACCCTAAAGCATTATCAGAGATGTATGATTTTTAAGAAATTCTCCATTAAGAAGCCATAAAATATAGGTAAAGTGTTGGTATGGAGGTAGGTTCATCTCTCATAAACAAAGGTGGCTACTGTACAGAGGCAAAACTCCAACAACTCAGAAAGAATAAAAAGGTTGTATATTTTCAATACTTGCTCTTTTTTTTTTTTTTTTAAAAGAGACAGTCTCGTTCTGTCACTCAAGCTGGAGTGCAGTGGTGTGATCACAGCTCACTGCAGCCTTGATCTCCTGGGCTCAAGCGATCCTCCTGTCTTAGCTTCCCAAGTAGCTGAGACTACAGATGTGCCATCATGCCTGGCTAATTTTTAAGACAGTCTCACTATGTTGCCCAGGCTGGTCTCAAACTCCTAGGCTCAAGATCCTCCTGCCTTGGCCTCCCAAAGTTCTGGGATTATAGGCATGAGCCACTGTGCCTGGCTGGCTTACTGCTTTCTTAAAGAAAACAACAGAAGTAACAATCCAAGTAATATATATAAAATTTTTCTTCTTTTTCATGGGTACCAAAACATAAGTTATGTAAGTAAATGGATATCTAATTTTTTTTTTTTTCTTGAGACGGAGTTTCACTCTTGTTGCCCAGGCTGGAGTGCAATGGCAGAATCTCGGCTCACTGCAACCTCCACCTCCTGGGTTCAAGCGATTCTCCTGCCTCAGCCTCTCAAGTAGCTGGAAGTACAGGCATGTGCCACAGGCATGCCTGGATACTTTTTTTATTTTTAGTAGAGACAGGGTTTCTACATGTTGGTCAGGCTGGTCTCAAACTCCCAACCTGAGGTAATGTCCTGCTTTGGCCTCCCAAAGTGTTGGGATTACAGGCGTGAGCCATGCACCTGGCCTATGGATATCAGATTTAACTAGGATTTCTACTTACACTTTCATTTTCAAATCTGAGTCCAACCATCTTTTCTGTATCAGAAATTTTCCCCTTTGAACACCTAAGGAAAATAATTGAGAGATGATAGATTTCTGCTAGATGACTCAAACCTAGCACATCCTAGATTTAGAAATAAGATTTCATAATCTGTAAATAAAAATTGCCTTTTTATATAATACTCTAAATCAAGAGCCAACAAACTTTTCTGAAAAAGCACAGACAGTATTTTAGGCTTGGCAGGTTTTATGGTCTTGGGCATATCGTGGCAATTCTACCACTGTAATTTAAAAGCAGCCATAGACAGTATGTAAATGAATGTGCACACTTCAATAGAAATGTACTATACAAAAATAGGCAAGTAGACCAGATTTGGTCCATAGGCCGTAATTTACAAACTCTGCTATAAACTATCATCCAAAAATCCTAAGGTATGCTGAACTGCCTTTATTGTTCTTATCCTAAAGACACAGATCTCTAGATATCCCCACTCCACCCACACTCCTATCTAAGAATCATGCGTTTCTCCCAACCCCTGATGCCTGGGAGATAAAGGGCACCCCCCAACCCACCAAGGTAGGGTGGGCATCTGACCCAAGAGCTAGCTACCTATCTACTCATATATGCTGACCAACTACCAGAAATGAAAAGAGTTCACAATTCCTCAGAACTACTTACTCATAAATACAGGTGATAAAGAAAATATATATGAAAGTGCAGAATGAACTGAATGTACCTCTTTTCACTTCTCAATGAACATAGAGGTCCCCTTGTTTCAACAAGTCTATCTGTGAGGATGGCAAAGAAAAGATTAAATGTTTCCTTCATTAATTAATAATATAGTCAGAATTTCAGCTTACCGAGTTTCCACAATATCAAGGCAATTCTTCAACAATGAAATGCTACAGTGAATTCCAAAGATACTAGCCTCCTTATAAACTAAGTTGCCTAAAAAATAAGTCTGTATCTCTTTGCTCTTTAAATATAATCTTTACTATAAACTGAGTGACATCTGCTCATTTGGTAAGCTGTCATTTAGTGGACCGTCAGTGGAGAAATAGAAGGAAATTGATTTATAAAGAATATAATAAAATTTCAGCTCACAGAACATTTGCTACTATATAGGAGCTTAGGAATAATAGTTCAGAGCCATTTTATGAATCTACTTCATCTTGAAACAACTTTTTTACTAAACTCCTAGATAAGCCCCCTGTCAATTCTGTGAGATTTTTTTTTTTTTTTTTTTTTGAGACGGTTTCACTCTGTCACCCAGGCTGGAGAGTAGTGGAGTGATCTCAGCTCACTGCAACCTCCACCTCCCAGGTTCGGGCGATTCTCCTGCCTCAGCCTCCTGAGTAGCTGAGACTACAGGCGAGTGACACCACGCCTGGCTGATTTTTGTATTTTTAGTAGAGACGGGGTTTCACCATGTTGGCCAGGCTGGTCTCAAACTCCTGTCCTCAGGTGATCCACCTGCCTTGGCCTCCCAAAGTGCTGGGATTACAGGCATGAGCCGCCACGCCTGGCCCAATGCTGCGAGATTTGACAGTATTTTGGTATACCATTTTCTACCTCACATGAACACTCTAACATGAACTAAGGTCAATATATTAAGACAAGGCTAAATCTGGGAACTCACATTGTTTTGGAACAAATTGTGTTGTTTTGACTCCATGATTTTGCTCTTCCCCCCAGCCTTTGGTCTTTAATGTGTCCATCTGACTTCTTTGAGAACTTAAAAACACAAAAAGTGAGGGATATCAGATACAAAAGCAAAGTCTACCATAATATGCATTATCTCTGTCCACCAAGCTTCTCCAAATAGGGGTTATTAATTACCCTATTATATCAAATTATGACAGAAAGGAAGCTACTATCTGGGACTAGGATACCAGGAGTCTAATCCTGATTCTAATATTTAAGCCAAGTTACCTATCCTCAAGTTTCTCTATTTGTAAAATCAGAGGTTCTAAATCCCCAGTGACACCTTAACTGAACAATCTGTGTGATAAAACTCAGATTAAAAGATAAAAAACTTTTTAAGCTACATATTTAAATGGCCCTGAAACAATACATTACAAGCAGGAACTTTGTTTTGGTTTTTTTTTGAGACGGAGTCTCGCTCCGTTGCCCAGGCTGGAGTGCAGTGGTGTGATCTCCGCTGACTGAAACCTCCACCTTCAAGCGACTCTCCTGCCTCAGCCTCCCAAGCAGCTGGTATTACTGGTGCAGTGGTAGGCCGTGTGCAGTGGCTCACGCCTATAATCCTCCCAGCACTCTTGGATGCTAAGGTCAAGACTAGCCTGGTGAAACCATGTCTCTAGTAAAAATACAAAAAATTAGCTGAGCATGGTGGTGGATGACTGTAATCCCAGCTACTCGGGAGGCTGAGGCAGGAGAATTGCTTGTACCTGGGAGACAGAGGTTACAGTGAGCCAAGATTGTGCCATTGCACTCCAGTCTGGGCAACAAGAGTGAAACTCCATCTCAAAAATTAAAAGTTAAATAGTATTGTGACTTTTTAACCTTCAATTTGCTATTATATAATTTCTGGGATCCTTGTGTATTTTTGCTCCACTTGTTAGAATGACCTAGTGTACCTCAATTCTGAGCTCACAGATTTTTTTGTCCTCCTTTCACAGACAAATGCAAGGCCAGCTATCACTTCTGCCACTCTCATCTATTAATATTTGCTCAAATCATTAGAGTATTTAATTAACAAGCCGTATTATAAGGATAATTCTTATGACCTGGGAGACTTTAATCTTGCCTCTAGCGGACTTCCAAATGTGCTAAGATTCAATCTCCATGATGCTGCAGGGACTAGGTGTGTCTCATGGGGTGGCGGTGAGGAAGGGGAAAGGAAAAAAGACAAAGGACCATAAGGAGATTAAGGAGAAAGGAAGGAAGGAAGGAAGGGAGACGGGAGAGATGGAGAGATGGGCAGGAGGGGGTGGGGAAGAGAGGTAGAGAGAGAGACTGTGGGAAATGTATGCTGAGGAGGTTGAAGAAACCCTGCCTCCTGATAGCTCTACCTCAACCAGTGAGCCACTTTGTTATGTAAGAGTTTCAAGTAACAGTTTACTTGAACAAAGGGTCCTAAAGGTAACATAAAATTTTACTTTGCAAAACCTCTGTTACATATTACCCATTACTAGATAAATATAAAGGCAAATGATGGGGCTAATTCTCTCAGGGTTAACTTCTTCTTTCAAATAAGGCCCTTCCCACCAATACCTTCTCCAAAACAAACAAAAAGGTGTCTAGCAAAGCATTATGTGTTAGCTCATTTTCACCTGTGATAATTTGAAGTCACAGGACATGTGACAGAGTTTCCATGACCACTTTCTTTAAGTCGTTCCAATAACCTTCGGTACTTCTCTCTTTCCTCTTTTTGAACACCCTAAATAAAAGAAAGCATGTTAGATAAGCACCAGCATATTAAACTTATAATTAAAAGACAAAATGTAGCCCATAGATGTGTTTTCTTTCCAACACTGTGTCTTCAATATTTCTCTGAATTACTAGCTTTATACATGTTTTTAAAAATCAAAAAATCTGGCCTCCTTTGGGAGTCCACAATCTATAGCTATGCAGGGCTATCTCGTTTAGATGGGCCACTGCTCTCCAGCCCACTTTACTCATGCTGTCTGCTAGATTCTGATGGCATCTAGGTTTTTGACAGAACTGGGTTGAATAGAATTAAGTTAACTACAAAAAAACCTCAGCAGAAATCATACCAAGAATATGTAGCTTCCAAAGTGAACTGGCCTCACCAACATCACCAGCAACCATCACATTCAATAGACACTTTTTCAGCCCTTAAGTTACTTGATCTCTCTTCAGCATTTCACCATGCTGACCTGCCTTGCCTTCCTAGACAATAAGCTCTTCTGATTCTTTTTTTCTGTCTCCACTGCAGATTATTCCTTCTACCTACATACTAGTGGTTTTGCCCGTATCTCTTCTTGCACTACATTCCTTCCCTGAATAATCTCATCACCTCCCTTGATTTAAATAACATCAGTAGGTTAAAGAGTCAGAAATGTGTCTCCTCCTCAAAATTCTCATCACTTATATCCACCCTCCAGGAAAGGTTTTCTTGTGGGTTTCACAGGGAGTTTAAACAATATCCAAAACTGGAGTCATCATCTTCCCCATGAACATAGGGTTATCTTGGTAACACAAAGTGATTCCCAAAACTGAAATCTGGGACTCAGACTCTCCTCTCTACTTTATATTACACTTAATCAACAGACATGTCCTTGCTAATACTACCTGCCAATATTTCTAGAGTGTATTTTCTACATATTCCCCTGTAGATAACTGCTCAGTCCCATTTTTGATTTCTCATCTAAGAGACTGAAATTTTTTTTTTTTTTTTTTGAGATGGAGTTTTGCTCTTGTTACCCAGACTGGAGTGCAATGGCGCGATTTCGGCTCACCGCAACCTCCGCCTCCTGGGTTCAAGCAATTCTCATACCTCAGCCTCCCGAGTAGCTGGGACTACAGGCGTGCGCCACCATGCCCAGCTAATTTTTGTATTTTTAGTAGAGACGGGGTTTCACCATGTTGACCAGGATGGTCTCAATCTCTTGACCTCGTGATCCACCCGCCTCGGCCTCCCAAAGTGCTGGGATTATAGGCGTGAGCCACCGCGCCCGGCCTGAGACTGAAATTTTTAACACCTCATCTTAAAACCCCTTTCAGGGCTCTGGTCCATTCCTCTCTCTGCCTGCTTATTGAATAGCAACTATTTATGTATAAGCTCCTGGAGGGGCAGGAACCGCATTTCATTTAATCTTGAATTGCTGACAACTAGCACAGTACCTGGGACCCAAATAAGTATTTCTCTGATGAACTAAATTAAACATGTGGCTCAGAAAACTAGTTAGCAAACTGAAATAGCTAATGGTCCTGGGGAGTGCCAGATACAGGAATAATTCTAAATTTTCCTGGAATAATGGAAATACTCAAAAGGAAAGTAAAAAGATTGACTCTTCATCATGCTGAGTACTCTGAAATGTGACAGAAAAAGCAGAAATGCACTCAATTTACTTCCCTTCCTTAGTCACAGTTATTAAAGTTTGTAAAAAGAAACGACTTAGGGCTGGATGCAATGGCTCACACCTGTAATCCCAGCAGTTTAGGGGGCCAAGGCCGGAGGATTGCTTGAGACTGGAGTTTGAAACCAGCCTGGGCAACATAGCGAGACCCCATCTCTCCATATAGATAAATAACTTGGTAAATTTTTTTTAAAAAGCAGGTTAGACTAATTTAGGTAGCCAAAAAGAATCTAATCTTGGCTGGGTGTGGTGGCTCATGCCTGTAATCCCAGCACTCTGGGAGGCCAAGGCAGGTGGATCACCTGAGGTCAGGAGTTCGAGACCAGCCTGACCAACATGGAGAAAACCTACTAAAAATACAAAATTAGCCAGGAATGATGGCGCATACCTGTAATCCCAGCCACTAGAGGGGCTGAGGCAGGAGAATTGCTTGAATCTGGCAGGTGGAGGCTGCAGTGAGCTGAGATCATGCCATTGCACTCCAGCCTGGGCAACAAGAGCAAAACCCTGTCTCAAAAACAAACAAAAAAAACCCCGACTAATCCTATCCCTTCCTAATATGACTCCTTTTTCTTCCTTATGATAAAAATAACTACATTTTCAGGGTCACAGACAGATGAGAAAAAAAAAAAAAGTACATCTAAATATTGACTAAATTATATGTGTATAGAACATCTGTAGGAGGATACATACAGGTATCAGAGGTTACTTGCTAAGTAGTAAACATGGTGATGGAAGCCAGGTATGGAAGAGAGTCTGGGAAACTTAGCCACTGTACATACTTTGGTACCTTTTGAAATATATAACATATGCTTGAACATGGGAGGCAGAGGTTGCAGTGAGCCAAGACTGTGCCACTGCACTCCAACATGGGTGTACTCCAGAGTCTCACTCCATCTCAAAAACCAAAAAAAAAAAAAAAAAAAAAAAAAAAAGCAAAAAAGAAATATATAACATAATTGATATAGTATTTGCTCCCAAAAATATTCATTAGAAATTCTTTTTAGTCTTATGATTTTTATTACTCAAAAAAGTTTCATTTTTAAATTTAGCTGTCTGAGTGCTGTGTCTGTGCCTTCAACACTTTCACAACAGTTTTCAGCTCCCTGATAGGCAACATGCTTGATCCTGTCATGAACACATTTGGCACACATGGCCACTACAGGCCCTGCTATGTTCTGGACAATCTCATAAGAACTTTAGGTCTCATAGCACGAACCCCTCAAAGTCTACCTGGGCAGATGCCACATGTAGATTTTTGGTGCATTTGGGTTTGAGACAGCCTCATTTTGTTAGAGGCTCTATTACAGGAAAACCTACAATGGTATGTCAAATGTTGAACCATTCTGAGTTGGTTAGGAAGAGCTGTAAAATATTGTTTTAAAGAAATCAAGCTAACAAGGCTTACCTCCTCCACAGTACAATGGGGGCGCCTCAGACCCTTGCCACTCTCTTCAGAAATCATCTCTGTTACAGCGGGTTCCTGAGGTTTCCACATGAAAGAACTCTCTGGATTACCTTTGCTATGACGACGGCCACCTGGTCTTCTATTATAGCCTTCTGAATTCAAAGTAAAACTGAACAACGGAAAAAAAGAAGAAAAAGCTTATCACCAAGCTGCTTAAATTGCTAGAATCTAAGCTCCCAGACCATCCTGAGATTAAGTTGCCTTAGGTCAAGCTTGCTCCTGGCAAGTCAGACAACTACAATTGTGCAAGAGTTAGATCTATCCCTGCAGCAAATGGCACCCAGCATTCCACTATGGAATGTCTGTTTCTAATCACTAGAGCAGCCACACAAAGAAAGCCTCTGCCTTCCTCTTCATGCCCATTTCCAACCTCAACTCTAGATTCAGCTCCCCTACTGCACATACCCCTTCTGATACCTCGTTTTTCCTTTAGTCACTTGGAACCACTGAAATTAATTATTGGCGTGATTATTTGCTTAACGTCTATACTCAACACTAAACTTTAAATTCCCTGAAAAGACATTACATCCTTTCACCACTGTATCTTAGTACAGGGTCTAAGCCAAAAAGGCATTCAATAAATATCTGCTGAATGCCAAATTAATAAATGCTAAACGAACTGAAGCCTGGAATTCCTACCCAGTCACAGTTGCCGGTGACAAAATCTGCCTTTCCTGCCATTAGTGACAAACTGACAGCACCCCCCTCCTTCCTTGAGTGATGCTTTTGAAATGAATACCACTGATGTGGTATTTCTTAAAAAAAAAAAAAAAAAAGGCATAATCTGAAACAAATCATCAGTAAATATCAAATAAAATTAAAATATTAATGTCACTGAACACAAAGAGCAAGGAGTAGCTGCAGAATAAAGTAGATAAAAAATACATGAAAACTATGCGCAATACACAATCCTGTACTGGATCCTGTATCAGGAAAAAGAAAAGGCTGTACGAGAGAAATTAGACCTGTAGATTACATAATAGCATTATATCAATGTTAATTTTCCTGATATTGGTAATCTGTGATCATGTAAATGAATGTCCTCATTCTTAAGAAATAGGCCAGGTGCTGTGGCTAAGCCTGTAATCCCAGCACTTTGGGAGGCCAAGAGGGCACATCATGAGGTCAACAGATCGAGACCATCCTGGCTAACCCCATCTTTACTAAAAATACAAAAAATTAGCCAGGCGTGGTGGCAGGCGCGTGTAGTCCCAGCTACGCAGGAGGCTGAGGCAGGAGAATCACTTGCAACCGGGAGGTGGAGGTTGCAGTGAGCTGAGATCGGGCCACTGCACTCCAACCAGGGAGCAAGACTCCATCTCAGAAAAAAAAGGAATGAAGGAAAGAAAGACTTGACCAGGTGCAGTGGCTCAAGCCTGTAATCACAGCACCTTAGGAGTCTGAGGTGGGTAGATCACTAGATCAGGAGTTCAAGATCAGCCTGGTCAACATGGTGAAACCGCATCCCTACTAAAAATACAAAAATTAGCTGGGCATGGTGGCATGCACCTGTAGTCCTAGCTACTCGGGAGGCTGAGGCAGGAGAGTCGCTTGAACCTGGGAGGCGGAGGCTGCAGTGAACTGAGATCGTGACACTGCACTCCAGCCTGGTGACAGAGAGAGACTCCGACTCAAAAAAATAAATAAATAAATAAACAAACTCAAGTATTTAGGATTAAAGGGGCATGAATCGAAGACTCCCAAATGGTTCAAAACAGTATGTATGTCAGTATGTATGTATGAGAGAATGAAAAAGCAAATGTAGCAGAATGACAACTGGTGAATCTAGGTCAGGTTATTCACCTGATAGAGCTTCAAAACATATAAAGCCAAAAAACATGGAGCAAAAATTAACAAAGCTGAAGGAGAAATAGACAAAGCCACAATTATGGTAGAAAACTCAATTCCTCACTCATCAATCAATAAAAAAGTCGACAGAAAAATCACTAACACCTGTAAAACATTATCAACCAACCTGACCTGACATTTAGGTCATTCTACCCAACAACAGCATAATACCACTCAAGTGCACATGGACCATCATCCAACTGGTCACACTCTAGGCTATGAAACAAATATTAACAAAATGAAAAGAAATGAAATCATACAAAAATCATCTCTCTTTTTTGTTTCACTGTCTTAAATTGTTTATTAGGTATGAATTTTACAAACTTTACTTTTATTAGCGGTAACGGTGGAGCTGGAGAGTATTGAGCCTTCTCCAAGCTACCTGGTGAGAACCACCAATAGTGTGGTGAAACTCAAGGCCCTTTTCAAGGCCACGACTCTTTTGGCCTGCATATGTCAGCCCATGCATCTCCCTGTGCTTGTGGACTGGTTTGGTGATCCATTGGGTGTCAGGATTTTTTCTGATAGCTTTATGGAATGGATCAATGAGAATAACCTCAAAAAATCTGTATGTGGAATCTTCACCAACCCAGTAAGAACTCAGGACTCTTAAAGCCCCGCAGTGGCATCCAACTCACTCCTCTGCAACAAACTGATGGCTTCGAGCCAACTTTAGCTGGTTAACACCATGATGGACAGGCTTGCTGTAAGTTGCACCCCTAGGAACTGAGCGTTTTCGGCCACCACAGCAAACACGAACCCTATACATAACATAACCTTGCTTAGCCTTGTAGCTTAGTTGTCGTGATTTATCAGGCCAGGTAGGGTAGGGAGCCCTGTGGAGAGCAGAGAGCTGGCGGTACTGCCAGTAGCGGACCCTCAGAAGAAATGCATGACATCAGACTGCTTCTTTCTCCATAGCTCCTGGATGTACTTGTATGCACCCATCTCGGCTTATTTGATGGCTGTCGCCAGATGGAAAAACAACAAAGCATATTCTCTAACCATAATAGAAGCAAACTAGAAATCAATAACAGAAAGATATCTGCAAAGTCCCAAATATTTGGAAATTAAAGAACATATTTCTATCCTTCTAAATTATAGGTCAAAGAGGAAGTAAAACAGAAACTGGAAAATATTTTTATTTACTTATTTATTTTATTGTATTATTATTATTATTATTTTGAGATGGAGTCTCACTGTGTTGCCCAGGCTGGAGTGCAGTGGCCTGATCTCGGCTCACTGCAACCTCTGCCTTCCGGGTTCAAGTGATTCTCCTGCCTCAGCCTCTCAAGTAGCTGGGATTACAGGCATGTCCCAGCACAGCCAGCTAATTTTTGTATTTTAGTGGAGACGGGGTTTCACCACGTTGGCCAGGCTGGTCTCAATCTCCTGACCTCAACTGATCTGCCTACCTTGGCCTCCCAAAGTGCTGGGATTACAGGTGTGAGCCACTGCGCCTGGCCTAAAAAATATTTTACATTTAATGAAAATGAAAACCAACATTTCAAAATGTTGACAAAAGCATCTAAGCAGTGCTTACAGGGAAAAAGCATTAAATGCTTAGAGAATAAGTTTATCTCTAACTATATATATAAAATCACAATATAATCACCAAATTTAGGAACTTTTGCAATAGTACATTGTAACATGTAGCCCAGATTCAAATATCTCTAAAGCTGTTAAAAAATAATCTTTGCCGGGCGCGGTGGCTCAAGCCTGTAATCCCAGCACTGGGGGAGGCCGAGACAGGCGAATCACGAGGTCAAGAGATCGAGACCATCCTGGTCAACATGGGGAAACCCAGTCTCTACTAAAAATACAAAACATTAGCTGGGCATGGTGGCGTGTGCCTGTAATCCCAGCTACTCAGGAGGTTGAGGCAGGAGAATTGCCTGAACCCGGGAGGCGGAGGTTGTGGTGAGCCAAGATCGCACCATTGCACTCCAGCCTGGGTAACAAGAGTGAAACTCCATCTCAAAAAAAAAAATAAAAAATAAAAAATAATAATAATCTTCACAGCAATTTTGTCCCACCTAAAATCTAATCCAGGATCTCACACTGCATACATTTAGTTATCAAGTTATGTTTGATCTCCTTCAGTCTGAAACAATTTTTCAGCTTTTCTTTATCTTTTTAATGACGAATACAGGCCTATTATTTTCTAGAATGAACCTTAATTTCAGTTCAACCAGCTTTCTCATGATTAGAGCCAATCGTTTTTGCAGGAATGCTAATTTACTGATGACGTCTTTCTCAGTACAATACATTTGGAAACCATGATGTCAGTTTGTCTAATGCTGGCAATTTAGCTTTGATCCCTTGGTTAAGGTGGTATCAATTGTGTTTCTCCACTTTATTTTTCCCTTTGTAATTAATAAGTGATGTGGGCCAGGCGGGGTGGCTCACACTTGTAATCCCAGCACTCCGGGAGGCCAAGACGGGTGGATCACCTGAGGTCAGGAGTTCGAGACCAGGCTGGCCAACACAGTGAAACCCTGTCTCTACTAAAAATATAAAATTAGCTGGGCGTGGTTGTGCATGCCCCCTAGTCCCTGCAAAAAAAAAAAAAGTAATGTGTGGGGAGATACTTGGAGTTTATATAAACTCATCAAATTAGTACCTCATCAAACTTTATTTTTTTTTCGAGACAGAGTCTCACTCTGTCGCCCAGGCTGGAGTACAGTGGCGCGATCTCGGCTCACTGCAACCTCTGCCACCAGGTTGAAGGGATTCTATTGCTTCAGCCTCCTGAGTGGCTGGGATTACTGGCACGTGACACCACACATGGCTAATTTTTGTATTTTTAGTAGAGATGGGGTTTGACCATGTTGGCCAGGCTGCAAATTTTCATTTACTAGTTTTGGCTCAATTGATGATTCTTGCCCATATCAGTTATTACCATGACAGTTACAAAATGGTGATTTTGTAATTCTATCAGTCCTTCCACACTTATTAGTTGGCATTCTACTATAAAGATCTTTCCCTCCCCGATACTATATATTTATTTATTAATATCTAAGCCCCTATCTTTATTCATTCTGATGTTTAAATTATCCCATCTGGACAGTGAAAGCGCCTTCAAAATCTTGTCCTGTGTCAGGTTGGCATGCCCGTTTTTGAACATTCCTTTACTTTCTGGCACAAGATGTTCAGGCTCACTTTATACTTTCCCTCTAGCCCTATAATCAGCTATTTATTCAACTCCAGAGGGCACTATTTTTTAGTGTCTCATTCTTAAACATAAGTGGATAGCCAAGGCGTACTAAGTGTTTGCATAAAGACTCTAACCTGAAAGATAAAACCAAAATAAACAAACATAGAGGGAGAGGGCACAAAGCCGAATGGAGCACTCAAAACATATTATAAAATAATAAACAGCTTTAGAGAGACAAGGAAAGATATTGCATCCATATAAGAAAAAGATGCTTGGAGAAAGAAAAAAAAGTTGGGAATAGGCAGTGGGGAGAACTCTTCTATCTTAAAAACTGACAGTCAAAAAAGAATTAGTAAGAAATGCTTTTTTGTTTGTTTGTTTGTGTTTTTTTTGGAGACAGAGTCTCGCTTTGTCGCCAGGCACCAGGCTGGAGTGTAGTGGCCCAATTCCCCTGCCTCAGCCTCCCAAGTAGCTGGGACTACAGGTGCATGCCACTACGCCCAGCTAATTTTTTTTTGTATTTTTAGTAGAGACAGGCTTTTACCATGTTGGCCAGGATGGTCTCGATCTCTTGACCTTGTGATCTGCCCACCTCGGCCTCCCAAAGTGCTGGGATTACAGGCGTGAGCCGCCGCGCCCGGTCATAAAAAATGTTTTTAAAAAGAGCAAGAAGGCCAAGTGCGGTGGCTCACGCCTGTAATCCCAGCAGTTTGGGAGGCCAAAGTGGGTGGATCACCTGAGGTCAGGAGTTCAAAACCAGCCTTGCCAACATGGCAAAACCTTGTCTCTACTAAAATGCAAAAAATAGCTGGGCATGGTGACACACCCCTGTAATCCCAGCTATGAGAAGCTGAGGTGGGAGAATTTCCTGAGCCCAGGAGACAGAGGCTGCAGTGAGCCGAGGGCTGATATTGGGCCACTGCATTTCAGCATGGGTGACAGATCGAGGCCCTGTTTCAAAAAAAAAAAAAAAAAAAAAAAAAAAGCAAGAACAACAAAAGAAGAAAATATGTGGGAAAATTAGATCAATCCAGAAGGTCTAATGAATAAAAGAAGGTCCAAGCAATAAGCAATAAAAATTCTAGAAAGAATACAGAAAAAGGAGGGAAGAAAACTATTAATAATAATATTTTACAGATGTGACCAGTGTATGAAGATTAACCAGGCAATGTACACTTACAATTTCAGCACTTTTTGTATGCAGAATTATATTTTTAAGTTGAGAATAAAGTAAGTGACAATTCTTTCTAAAACGGTTTTCAAGATCAGATGCTATGGGTATATAAATACAGTAGAAAATGTAAGGCCAGGTGTGGTGGCTCACACCTGTAATCTCAGCACTTTGGGAGGCCAAGGCGGGCGGATCACCTGAGGTCAGGAGTTTGAGACCAGCCTGCCCAACAGGGTGAAACCGCATCTCTACTAAAAATACAAAAATTAGCCAGGCATGGTGGAGGGTGCCTGTAATCCCAACTACCCAGGAGGCTGAGACAGAATTGCTTGAACCTGGGAGGCAGAGGTTGCAGTGAGCCAAGATTACTCACACCACTGCACTCTAGCTGGGTGACAGAGCAAAACTCCATCTCACAAAAAACACCACACACACTCAAGTTCAAGTCTCTCACTGGCTGCATGACATTCAGCAAGTTACTAACCTCAGAGTGAGTACCTAATAAGTGCTAAGTTTCCATTTACAAAAAGAATTTAACACTTACCCCAAGGAAGGCAGGACTCTGCGTGGCTGATCTCGGGTTACTGTCACTCTGATCTTTGGATAGTCACTTATTCCATTAGGAGATTTATTACCTATTTAAAAAATGCATTTGTAATTGTGAAATGAAAAATCACCTGAAAACAGTCTGCAGAAGGAAGAAAAAAAATCTGTGAGCAACCTACATCATAGAGCTAAATAAACATCTTGTTTTTCAATTTCTATTAATAGTACAGGAGTCTAGCACAAATTTTGTTGAAGTTAAAGGAAAGCCATAAGGCTTAGTTTGTCTTTGATCTCAGAAACGTAATAACAGAATTCACTGGCAGGTTTTGCTTATTTTTCTCGATGGGACTGTTAAGAGGCCATAAAGAACTCAGTTTCTAACTCTCTGTAATCTAATCAATTTGAGTAAATTGTTCAAATTAAAACCAGCCATATTTTCATATTTTTCACCTAAAATATGAAAAATTCTGAATTCCCAAACATATCTGGCTCCCAGGGGTTGCAGGTAAGAGATTGTACACCTCTTTACACATGAAACCTGTCCTAGGAATACCTGTGCTGCACTGACTATAGACTACACAAACCCACAGAAACACAGCAGTGCCAGCACTAAGGCACAAGATAAATCTACCAGCCCTCACATGTTAATTTTAATGGTAAACAATTCTAAACAAATATTCCAAACAGATAATAAAATTCAATTTATATTAACTTTTTAAATGAAATTAAAGGCCTCAAAGAAATATCACCTTTGTTCCAAGTTTTTAGGAACTAGCTTCTCAGACACAAGAGTATTAATTCTCTTTTGTTTTTCTCTATGCCCAGAGGTATTTTTTAAAAAAGTCTGAGAAGCATAACTCTAGGGCTTTTATCATTTCCTTAACTTCTTCCACTTTTGAATTTTGAACCTACAACTTCTCTAAGCTCATTTTCCCTACCTTCCTTCCCCTCCAACTTTACAAGCCTACCTCAGTGGCAGACATCACAACTATTTTGCAGGATTCTGGCTTCTTCCTACTTTTCCCCACTATAGCATTTTGTATAGTGCATATATATGATAATGACAATTCAACTTCAGGATCTAAGGATAACATGGAAGTCCCTAATCCATAATACTGTGGTAACTGGGAACCTAAGGCTGCTCCCCAACTAGACGATGAACTCCTACAGGACAAGAATAAGGTTTTATTATTTTGTTATTCTTTTTTTTTTTTTTAGACAGAGTCTTGCTCTGTTGCCCAAGCTGTAGTGCAGTGGCGCAACCTTGGCTCACTGCAACCTCAAGCAATTCTCCTGCCTCAGCCTCCTGAGTAGCTGGGACTACAGGTGCGCACCACCACGCATGGCTAATTTTTGTATTTTTTGTAGAGATGGGGTTTTACCATGTTGCCCAGGCTGGTCTCAAAACTCCTGACCTCGTGATCTGCCCACCTCAGGCTCCCAAAGTGCGGGGATTACAGGCACGAGCCACCTCGCCCTAACTTGGTACAACGCCTGGCAGAGTAAGTTCTCAGGAAATGTTTTTGCTTTTTTTTTTAATGAATGAACCTTTTTAATATGACCTTGATCTAAGTCACATTAAGGACACTGATAATACAAACAAAAAACAACAGTAAATTCAAAGACAACACTTCTGAAGAAAAGCCACTTGCTTTTTAGAACAGTAAAAAGAATGTCTTTGTTCTCATCACAATCCAAATCAGTGTTTTCCTTTCATATTTTTAAAATGTAGGAAAAATGGGCAGAAGGAGGTAGAAGGAAACAGAAATATTTTTGATCACCTCACCCAGTGTCAGCATGTTGTTCCAGGATCCAGAACCTGTCAGTTCACAAGATGAAGAGTTCGAAAATACCTTAAAATCAAACAGAATCACCTCTGTATCATCTAAATTTTGTAATCTAAGTAAGTTTCTATTATGAAAAGATAACTTTTTCTTAGGTAGCTCACAAAAGAGATACCATCGATAAGACCTAGGGTTTAATTTGTCAAGACCCACAAATTGATGTAAAAGTAACAATTCCAGTTTCTTTGTACATACTTAAATAAGAAAGCATATGCAATAATATTTAGCTCTTTATAAACACATTTTAAATGTTCGATTTATTAACCTTTAATTTCTTAGCTTTTATATCACAGCTGATAAAGATATAAATATTTCTGGAAAAAAGTAATTGTATACATTAACTCTCAAAAAGAGAATTTTCTAAAATTTAATGATTAATTACAAAGATCAGTATTCCTAATGGAGCCTTATCCCCACTGACCTCTCCTGAAGGGGCCACATTCCGTGTTCCATTACAAGCAGAAGTTACCATGGGCTTTGTGGTCAGCTGGAATGGGAATCCAAATAAGCTGGCAGCATTGTAGAGACTGTTTTTCACTTGGTGAATAAAGCAATCTAGAAAGTGTCAACAAACTGTAAATATAGAGTAACAAACTTCCAGCAAAAAAAAATCAAATGATTTCTTGGAAACAGCCTCTCTCAATTTTTATTAAAAGTTCTATTGGTTGGGTGCGGTGGCTCATACCTGTAATCCCAACACTTTGGGAGACTGAGATGGGAGGCTTGCTTGAGCCCAGGAGCTCAAGACCAGCTTGGGCCACCATGGAGAAACTCCATCTCTACAAAAATTAGCTGGGCATGGTGTCCTGCGCCTGGAGTCCCAGCTACCTGGGAGGCTGAGGTGGGAGGATCACCTGAGCCCAGGAGGTTTAGGCGGCAGTGAGCTGTGATTGTGCCATTGCTCTCCAGCCTGGGCGGCAGAGTGAGACTGTCTCCAAAAATAAAACTGAAAGAAGTCCTATTTTTTTTTTTTTTTGAGACGGAGTTTAATTCTTGTTGCCCAGGCTGGAGTGCAATGGTGTGACCTCGGCTTACCACAACCACCACCCCGGGATTCATGCGATTTTCCTGCCTCAGCCTCCAGAGTAGCTGGGATTACAGGCATGCACCCCTACACCCAGCTAATTTTGTATTTTCAGTAGAGATGGGGTTTCTCCATATTAGTCAGGCTGGCCTTGAACTCCTGGTTTCAGGTGATCTGCCTGCCTCAGCTTCCCAAATGCTGAGATTAAAGGTGTGAGCCACCGCACCTAGCCAAAGGTCCTATTTTCAACCACTGAAATAAAAAGGTGGCCCGGCATGGTGGTGCACACCTGTAATCCCAGCACTTTGGGAGGCCGAGGCGAGTGGATCACAAGGTCAAGAGTTCAAGACCATCCTGGCCAACATGGTGAAATCCTGTCTCTACTAAAAATACAAAAATTAGCTGGGCGTGGTGGTGGACACCTGTAGTCCAAGCTGCTCAGGAGGCTGAGGCAGGAGAATCACTTGAACCTGGGAAGTAGAGGTTGCAGTGAGCTGAGATTGCACCACTGCACTCCAGGCTGGGCGACAGAGGGAGACTTCGTCTCAAAAAAAAAAAAAAGAAATAAAAAGGTAATTATAAAAATAATCTTTTTCTAACTGAATAACTGGAGTACCAGTATTGTAATATTGTTTTTTAAATCAAATATCTGAATATAAAAACATTAAACCATCACTTTAGCAAATCCACACTGATTCACACACACACAAAATGTTCTGAAATGACAGCTTTTAAGCAGTGCATTCTCCAGGACACATAAAATAAAATTTTGCCAGGCACAGTGGCTCATGCCTGTAATACCAGCACTTTGGGAGTCCACAGTAGGTGGATCACAAGGTCAGGAGTTCGAGACCAGCTTGGTCAACATGGTAAAACCCTGTCTCTTAAAAAAAAATACAAAAAATTAGCTGGGCACTGTGGTGTACACCTGTAGTTCCAGATACTCAGGAGACTGGGCCAGGAGAATTGCCTGAACTCAGAAATTGGAGTGAGCTGAGATTGCGCCACTGCACTCCAGCCCAGGCGACAGAGTGAGACTCTGTCTCAAAATAAATAAATAAATAAAAATAGGCCAGGTGCAGTGGCTTACTACTGTAATCCCAGCACTTTGGGAGGCTGAGGCAGGCGAATCAAGGTCAAGAGATCAAGACCATCCTGACCAACATGGTGAAACCCCATCTCTACTGAAAATACTAAAATTAGCTGGGCATGGTGGCAGGCGCCTGTAGTCCCAGCTACTCGGGAGGCTGAGGCAGAAGAATCGCTTGAACCCAGGAGGCAAAGGTTGCAGTGAGCTGAGATCGCACCACTGCACTCCAGCCTGGCAACAGAGCGAGAGTCTGTCTCAAAAATAAAATAAAATAAAATAAAACAAAACAAAAAAATAAAGTTTTACCACAGAGGTGAGGGCATGATTAAACAACAAGAAGCATATAGCCACCAAGTGTGGCAGAATTCTACAGGAAGCACTGTCATATTCTCACTGGTTTGTCCTTACTTCCCGGGCAGGTAACAATATACTGTAGTTACCCTAAACAACTGTTTACTAAGCCCCTATTATATCTTGGCTAAGTGAAGTATAAAATATGCAGCTTTATTTTTTCTTGAGACAGGGCCTTACTCTGTCACCCAGCCTGATGTGCAGTGGCATGATCACTAGTCACTGTAGCCTCAACCTCCTGGGCTCAAGTGATCCTCCTACCTCAGCCTCCTGAGTAGCTGGGATCGCAGGCATGCACCACGATGCCTGGCTAATTTTTTTTATTTTTTTGGTAGAGACAGGGTCTCACTATGTAGTCCAGGCTGGTCTGGAAATCCTGGGCTCAAGTGATCCTCCTGCCTCAGTCTCCCAAAGTGCTGATATTACAGGTGTATGCCATTGCACCTGGCCTAAAATATGCAGCTTTTAAACATCTAAGATGGAACAAGACTATCCCTCTAGTGGAGATGTGTTAGAAGATCTTAGGCTGGCCGCATGGCTCACACCTGTAATCCCAGCACTTTGGGAGGCAGAGGCAGGCGGATCACTTGAGGTCAGGAGTTTGAGACCAGCCTGGTCAACATGGCAAAATGCCGTCCCTATGAAAAATACAAAAATTAGCTGGGTATCATGGTGCACAACTATAATCTCAGCTACTCAGGAGGCTGAGGCAAAAGAATCAGTTGAACCCAGGAGGTGGAGGTTGCAGTGAGTTGAGATTGCACCACGTACTCCAGTCTGCCGACAGAGCAAGACTCCACCTCAAAAAAAAAAAAAAAAATTTAGCTGGGCCTGGTGGCACATGCCTGTAATTCCAGCTACATGGGAGGCTAAAGTAAGATGATCACTGGAACCTGGGAGGTGAAGGTTGCAGTAAGCCAAGATCACATCACTGCACTACAAACTGGGTGACAGAGGGAGACCCTGTCTCAAAAGGTAAAAAAACAACTCAGGTGGGGGTGGTGGTTCACAGCTGTAATCCTAGCACTTTGGGAGGCTGAGGAGGGCAGATCACTAGGTCAGGAGTTCAAGACCAGCCTAACCAATATGGTGAAACCTCGTCTCTACTAAAAATACAAAAAAAATTAGCTGAGCATGGTGGCGCGTGCTGGTAATCCTAGCTACTCTGGAGGCCGAGGCAGAAGAATTGCTTGAACCTGGGAGGCAGAGGTTGCAGTAGCGAAGATCACATCACTGCACTCCAGCCTGGGCAACAGTGAGGCTCCATCTCAAAAAAAAGAAACAAAACAAAACAAAACTCAGGCTCACCCCTCCTTACCACCAGAAATAAAGGGAAAGGGTAGATTTCAGTGTTTTCCTCACTTCCTGCTTTTATTGCACTACCTCTTTCTCACTTTCTATATATCTGATGTAAGCTTTCTACAATTTCCTTTCAATTTCCTAATTAAGGGTATTTGAAAACACTAGTTTGAGAAAAACAGAGCATCACCTTAGCCATTCTGCTTTAGGGAAAAATGAACTGCAATGGTAGCTTTTAAGCAGTAAGTGCTGCAGAACATATAAAATACTTTCCAGAAACATAGGGGAATAACAAACAAAAGGGGAAAAGTAATGACCAGGCAAAGCACAATCCAATGTGAAGTAATTTGCTGATGTTTATAAGTACCAAACTATGCAAATGAGTTGTTTTTCATTTTGGGAATCACAGAGAATTCCAGGTTATCCCCCTCTAATACTCCTGAGGGATATTACACATTCTGCTGTGCTTTATAAGGAGGATAAAAAGAGCTTTAGAGATTGATGCTTAACTCCTAGTCTGTCAGACCCTAGAGGACAAGAGGACTCTTGATAACACAGCAAATTGTGGCTACTAAACAATATCATAGTATTTATTTCCCTACAAATTTTATCAAAATTTGGATAAGCCCCAGAGATTATGTCAAAAGATCTCACTAAATTTTTTTTTTTTTTTTTTTAAACAGAAGGCCAGCCTCATCTGTAAAATGGGGGAAAGATCACCTTACTTTCCTAAGACTAGACTACATAGATCTCTTAAAATCCCTTTCACCTTTAAGATCATGAACCTGAAATTCTGAGTCTTCTTTCTTTTCTTTTACCCTTGCGTTGCTTTTTTTCTCTCAAAAGCAACCTATGGAGTTATACTGACCAACACAGTAGCTAGTAGCCAGATATGGTTGCCTAACTTAAAATTTTATTGAAATCAAATAAAATTTAAAATTCAGTTCCTCAACTGAACTAGCCACATTTAAAGTGCTCAACAGTCATCGCTGCAGGAAGTTCTACTGGACAGCACTCTACAGACCTTTAGAAACTCTGCTAGCCACTGCTTCCCCTTTGGCTTACATTCCCTTCTACAGTTTGCCATTCAGAAAATCATACTACATATTTAATGGGAACGATGCAGTAAGTGATCCTTAACATCGAAATCCATAAAACAGATGATTATAATAAATAATTAATTCAGAAACCTTCTGTAATACCAAAGTTTGTGCTGTCATTGTTGTTGTTTAACCACATCCAAGTACAAGTACAAACTATTTACATTTTTCTTTAAAACTGACTTCCCTTTTTGGATTAAAAAAGATAATTTTAAATTACTACTGCATATGTAGAGCCAACATCACCTGCCTTATAAAGAAATAAAAACACAGCCGGGCTGATGACTCATGTCTGTAATCCCAGCACTTTTCGAGGTAGAGGTGGGTGGATCACCTGAGGTCAAGAGTTCAAGGCCAGTCTGGCCAACACAGTGAAACGCCATCTCTACTAAAAACACAAAAATTAGCCAGGCAGGGTGGTGGGCACCTGTAGTCCCAGCCAGTTGGGAGGCTGAGGCAGTTGAATCACTTGAACCCAGGAGGCGGAGGTTGTAGTGGTCCAAAATTGTGCCATTGCACTCCAGCCTGGGCAAAAGAACGAGGCTCCATCTCAAAAGAAAAAAAAATGGAGACCCTGTCTTACTAATTTTTGTATTTTCTGTTAAACCTAACACACTGGTTAGCACTGAGACATGCTCAATAAGCACTCATTGAATTTAAACGAAATATTAACGCAAATATGTCCATACTCAATTCCACATCTGGAGGTAAACCCAAATTCACAATGGTTTTTGAGAAAGAATATATTATTATAGTATTTTACTATGCCTTTTTCCTTTAATCTACTTTTATTTTCTTTAACCATTCAAATATACTGAAATAAAAGACTTGGCTAGGTGCAGTGGTTCACATCCATAATCCCAGCACTATGGGAGGCCAGGCGGGAGGATCACTTGAAGCCAGAAGTTCTGACCTCTACCAAATATAAAATAATTCGCCAGGTGTAGTGGTACGCACCGATAATCCCAGTTACTTGGGAGACTGAGGCAGGGGGATTGCATGAACCCAGGAGTTTGAAACTACAGTGAGCTATGATCGTGCCACTGCACTGAAGCCTGGGTAACAGAGTGACACCCTCACCTCTTACAAAATTTAAAAAAAAAAACAAAAACCTGTTGATGACAAGATCAAGAAAGAGTAAGACCCTGTCTCAAAAAAAAAAAGAAAAGAAAAGAAATATTATTCGGTTCCTAAAGACAAGAGTATTCTTTCAGAATGCCACTGCTGCCTATTTCAGCCTGGGCAATATGGCAAGACCCTGTTTCTACAAAAAAATACAAAAATTAGCTAGGTGTGACAACATGTCTGTAGGCCCAACCAACTACTTGGGAGGCTGAGGTGGGAGGATCACCCAGGCCCAGGGAGGCTGCAGTGAGCCATGATCATGCCACTGCATCCCAGCCTGGATGACAGAATGAGACCCTGTCTCAAAAAAAAAAGTAAGATGGGTTCCCTCAGCCATCTGAACTAGAGTCACCTCAGTTTGAAATATTTATAATGTTTCCTCCTTAAAAAGAAGTGTCTTTTCTTTATAGAAGGATTTAGAATTTTAAAATAATGCAGTCTACACCTAGGCTTATTTACCTGCAGAGATCAGACAAGTCCCTGGTAACAGTAGTCACCTTTAGAAAAGATAAGTAAGAAAGGGACAGGAAAGAGACTTTTTTTTTTTTTTTGAGACAGAGTCTCACTCTATCACCCAGGCTGGAGTGCAGTGGCACAATCTTGGCTCACTTCAACCTCTGCCTCTAGGGTTCAAGCAATTGTTATGCCTCAGCTTCCCAAGTAGCTGTGAACACAGGTGTGCACCATCTGGATAATTTTTTTTTTTTTTTTTTTGAGACGGAGTTTCGCTCGTTACCCAGGCTGGAGTGCAATGGCGCGATCTCGGCTCACCGCAACCTCCGCCTCCTGGGTTCACGCAATTCTCCTGCCTCAGCCTCCTGAGTAGCTGGGACTACAGGCACGCGCCACCATGCCCAGCTAATTTTTTGTATTTTTATTAGAGACGGGGTTTCACCATGTTGACCAGGATGGTCTCGATCTCTTGACCTCGTGATCCACCCGCCTCGGTCTCCCAAAGTGCTGGGATTACAGGCTTGAGCCACCGCGCCCAGCAGCACCTGGATAATTTTTTAATTTTTAGTAGAGATCGGTTTTTGCCATGTTGGCCAGGCTGGTCTCGAACTCCTGACCTCAAGTGGTCCTCCAACCTCAGCCTCCAAAGTGCTGGGATTAGAGGTCTGAGCCACCACATCTGGCTAGGAAAGAGACTTACTTTTTTTATTTTTCCCTGAGACGGAGTCTTGCTCATCACCCCAGGCTGGAGTGCAGTGGCACGATCTCAGCTCACTGCAATCTCCACCTCCCGGGTTCAAGCAATTCTCCTGTCTCAGCCTCCCAAGAAGCTGGGATTACAGACGCCTGCCACCACGCCCAGCTAATTTTTGTATTTTTAGTAGAGATGGGGTTTTGCCATGTTGGCCAGGCTGATCTCAAATTCCTGTCCTCAGGTGATCCGCCCACCTCAGCCTCCCAAAGTGCTAGGATTAGAGGTGTGAGCCAGTGCGACTGGCCAAGACTTACTTTTTACTGCATGCTTTTTACCTTTTTAATTTTGTTCCATGCATATATTTTTCCTAATAATAAACTAAAAATTTTTAAAATTTATATTCAGTACCTAATCTTGGTCTTTTGGCTGGTATTTCATCAGTGTCCACTGCAGAAAACAGAGTGCTGAAAGAGAGAAAGAAAAGAAAATGTGCATATATATATATATTTATACACACATTCATTTATATAAGTAAACTGACTATTCATATAACACATCCCCTTCTATTGCTTTATTATAAAATGAGATCCAACTGATTTTTTTTTTTTTTGAGACTGTCTCACTCTCTTGCCAGGCTGGAGTGCAGTGGCACGATCTCGGCTCACCACAACCTCTGCTTCCCAGGTTCAAGCGATTCTCTGGCCTCAGCCTCACAAGTAGCTGGGACTACAGGCGCGTGCCACTGCTGCCTGGTTAATTTTTGTATTTCTAGAAGAGATGGGGTTTCACCACATTGGCCAGGCTGATCTTGAACTGCTGACTTCAAATGATCCGCCTGCCTCGGCCTCCCAAAGTGCTGGGATTATAGGTGTGAGCCACCACGCCCAGCCCAACTGATGTTTTAAAAGAGAATGCTGGTGGGATACAGTGGCTGGTGCCTGTAATCCCAGCACTTTGGAAGTCCAAACGGGAGGATAGCTTAAGCTCTGCAGTTTGACATCAGCCTGGGCAACAAAGGAAGACCTCATCTCTACTAAAAATAAAAATAAAAAATTAGCCGGCCTTGGTGGTATGTGCCTGTGGTCCCAGCCACCCAGGAGGCTAAGGCAGGAGGATCACTTGAGCCTAGGAAGTCAAGGCTGCAGTGAACCCAGGTCATACCACTGCACTCCAGCCTGGGCAAGAGTGAGAGTTTGTCTCTAAAAGAAATAAAACTGGCTGGGCACGGTGGCTCACGCCTGTAATCCCAGCACTTTGGGAGGCCAAGGCGGTGATCATGAGGTCAGGAGTTCAAGACCAGCCTGGTCAAGATGGTGAAACCCCATCTCTACTTAAAAATTAGCTGGGCATGGTGGCAGGCGCCTGTAATCCCAGCTACTCAGGAGGCTGAGGCAGGAGAATCTCTTGAATCCCGGGGGCGGCGGTTGCAGTGAGCTGAGATCGCCACGACTGTACTCCAGCCTGGGCGAAAGAGACTCTGTCTCAAAAAAAAAAAAAAGAAAACTAAAAATAAAAGGAAAACAAAAGACAGACTGCTATTTTATAGTAGGCTTTTCACATTTGAAGACTCAATGCTACAGTTTCAACTATTTGAGAAAGACCCAAACTTCTTACCAAATAATAATTTGCCATCTGGTTAAAGTACGAACTTGAAACTGGCCAAAGTCACTTAGCTAGTAAATGAACCCAGGTAAGAGTTTAGGACTAATATTTTCTCTTTCTCTCCAGAAATGATTTAAAAACAAAAAATAAGCAATTGAAAATGATCCCCAAAGAAAGCCATCTTTTACTTTAGGTGACAGTATTAACATTAACAGCCTTAGAAGACAATTATTTTTTATTTTTGTTTTTTCTTTTGCGTGTGTCTAAGGGAGTTTAAAAAAACTGTTCTATAAGGCCGGGCGCAGTGGCTCATGCCTGTAATCCCAGAACTTTGGGAGGCCAAGGCAGGTGGATCACCTGAGATCGGGGGTTCAAGACCAGCCTGGCCAATGTAGTGAAACACCCCTCCATGCCACCCCACCCCCATCTGTACTAAAAATACCAAAAATCAGCCAGGCATAGTGGTGGGCACCTGTAATCCCAGCTACTCAGGCAGCTGAGACAGGAGAATTGCTTGAACCTGGGAGGCAGAGGCTGCAGTGAGCCTAGATCACGCCATTGCACTCCAGCCTAGGCAACAAGAATGAAACTCCGTCTCAAAAAACAAACAAACAACAACAAAAAACTGTTCTACAACTTTAAAAAGTTAAATCTTAATCAGAAAAAGGTGTTTAATAATTTCATTTTTATCATGCAAACTACATTGCATTATGGTGGTAATACAGAACTTCGGAATTGAGGAAAGTTTCAGGATCCAGATGGCAAGAATGTTAAAGGCTCATAGTATATTACTCATCATCTCTCTGAACACCTATCATCTACTATATTCACACACATACACACACACACAAAATGAATAGAATGAGATCCTAGGCTTCCACTCAGCTCATACCTTTATACATTCCAACAAGCCTCCTGGTTTCATTTTGACTGAAAATTGGATTAAGGATGTGAACACACTTACCGTGTAGTAAAAATCAAGGTTTTGATTTCCAAACCATGTTCCCCAGACTAGCAGGGATTCACATCAATAAGAGGACAAGGGAAAGGAAATTAACTTTCTGTTATTCGATAAATATGTACCAAGTGCTTATCATGCACCAGAGTCTGCAAAAGACCCCAGGGTAGAATAAACAAACACTACCCATATATACACTGAGCATCAGTTTAAGCACTTTACAACATGTTCTCAAATGATCCTTACATCAACACCACAGAAAGATAGGAGAGAAAAACAAGGCAATGTGTTCCAGAGATGCAATTTAAGCAACAACCAATTTCATCAATAACCTGCATTTTCAGATTAACATATTGGACATCTTGTTCTCTCAAGCTTCCACAAATCAACACTTCTTCCACTTTTCTTGATACTGAGGCTTAATTTTTAAAAAATGAAATTAACACTTGATCACTGAAGTTGG